TTTCTGCCGGTACTGATTATAATACAAATCAGGGCATTTATTTTGATGGTATTAGTATACTAATAGTGTCAAAAGCGTTTTTTTATGGCACTCATTTTGCTTATGCATTTTATTACATGCATACACACGAGGCCGGTCAGAAGCGACATCTAACGTAGAACTTGGAAATAAAAAAAATCGATAATTGACGCGATCTCCTATCTTATCGACACTAATCGAGTTCGCCAGCGGCTTTAGCATCCGTGCAAAGGCCTTAATGCCCATTCTACACCTAGGGATGATCCTACTTGTGGCTCATCCGATACTCTCTTCTATACCTAGAGCTAATCCTACTTACAGCTTATCCGAGGAAGTAGTATAAAGTGTAAAAGGGTACACTGTAGTTGTACTTTGGTACGATTGGAAACCAACCAAAGTGTAAACCTTTTACACTTTATACTACTCCCTCGGATAAGCTGCAAGTAGGATTAGCTTTAGGTATAGAAGGGAGTATCGGATGAGCCACAAGTAGGATCATCCCTAGGTGTAGAATGGCCATAAGCGACAAGCCTAACCACGCGCGCGACACCGACCGTGTATAAGTTTACGCGAGTACACGAGTTGACGGGCCCTCAGATTTTCGGATCTCAACAACGGCCGACGAACTTGAGACTGCGCTTAATGGATAGCTTGGGTACGATTTGCATAATAAAAGTGTTTTTACTTTTCTCCTACGTGCCCCATGAGTGGAGATATTGCAATGCAAAGTCCGCATTTGGGAATTACGGATTAAGAACCGTCTTTGTCGTCGTCTTGGTCAACAGGCCAGTGGATCCTTTTCACTTTTCTGCCGCAACGTGGCATTGGCGCTGCTGACGTGACTGACATTACCGATGTTACCGACGCGTAACATTACCGATGTTATTACCGACGACTTCCGAAAGCTCGGTTTACCGCCGAGTTTCTATTCTTCATGATTAATACCTTGAACTCGATGTCCACGTATTCCAGGTCGCCGATGACGACGTCCAGACAGTGCGCTCCGTAGTTTTCGGTGTCTAGGTGTATTAATACCTGGTCGGTCAGTCCTTCCAGCAGATGGAGGACTTGATCCAGTCCTTGGTCGCCGGTTCCCGGGGCCGACCGGGGGTCCGGAGCAAGGAGGACGGACCCTCCAGGGGAGATCGCGAACGCTGCGGAGGGGGGCAAGAAGAAGAAGAAGAAGGCCCCCCTTCCGCGGCAGACGCAGAGGGTGGAAGAGGCGGGTCCCTCAAACAAAGGGACCGCCAAGCCCCCCCAACCCGCCGCGGGTGTTGAGACATACGCGACGGTGTTGGGGAGGAAAAGTAGGGCTGCGGAGAAGAAGGCGGCCAAGGGTGCCTCCAGGGCGGTTGCCCCCGGTCCCCCGGCGAAGGGGCAGACCGGTGGGGCGCCTAAGAGGGCTCCCAGGCGGAGGGTCCCGCGGACGTCGGCCGTTGTGGTCACTCGACCTAGTGACGACTACCGCGAGACCTTTGCCAAGTTAAGGCAGAGCATTAAACTCGAGGACCTTGGCATCGGGGGACGGATCAACATTAGATCTGGGGCCACCGGTGCCAGGGTCATCGAGGTCTCTGGGGAGGGCCATGCCGACAAAGCTGATCTGCTTGCGGAGCGGATTAGGCAGGTCCTCCCCGAGGAGGAGGGAACGCGAGTCGACCGACCGCGAAAGATGGCCGAGGTCCGCTTGCGGGATCTCGATGATTTCCTGGGGGTCGAGGAGGTGAGGGGGTGGGTGGCCGATGCGGCGCGGTGTAGCGTCTCCGATGTCCAATGCGGAGCGCTGCAGCCGGCCGCCGGAGGCACGTTTAGCCTCTGGGCCCGCCTACCCCTCACCGCGGCCAAGGAGATCTCCCAGCAGGGGAGAATTAGGGCTGGCTGGGTGATGGCCAGAGTGGCCCTCCTCGAGGCACGGCCCATGCGTTGCCACAGGTGCCTCGAGAGGGGCCACACGAGGGTGATGTGCCCTAGCGAGAAGGACAGGAGCGGGAGGTATTACCGGTGCGGTGAAACCGGTCACACCTCCCGCGACTGCCGGTCTGCCCCGAAGTGCCCGCTCTGTGCGGACAAGGGCAGGCCGGCGGCGCACGTCCTGGGGGCAAAGATTTGCGCCCAGAAGAACGTGCGCGGGAGACTGCTGGGGCAGCGCGCCATGGAGCAGGCGCCTGCCACCGGCGCTCCCCCCCCGGCCGAAGTGCGGCCGGCGGAGGAGAAGAGAGAGAAAGCGCGCGGCTCGCAGGAGCCTCAACCGCGGCGCCAACCCAGAGGGGCGCCAGAGGAGAGGGCCTCACCTCCATCAGAGGCCATGGAGGTAGAGGCCCTATCGGACGGGGGGGATAATAAGGCTGAGTAATGCCTCGCTCTCCCCCCCGTCCGAACCTGAACGGATTTGGCCTCATACAGGCCAATGTGAACCACTCTCCGCATGCGCAGGAGCTCCTCCAGCAAAGCATAGTGGAGAGTGGTTTCACGTTGGCGATCGTGTCCGAGCCCCACCGCCCCCCGAGGGACAGCCCATACTGGGCTGTTGATAACGGGCAGGCGGGGGACTCCGTCGCGATCCGATGGCGGTCGGTGCCGGGAGGGCCCGGCACGACCCCCATCGAGAGTGGGGAGCGGCACGTTGCCGTTCAATGGGGGCCCATCGCGGTCGTTGGGATCTATTTAAGGCCCACCAGACGCCCTGCTCTGTTTGAGGGCTGGCTGACGGACGTGGGACGAATGTTAACACGTCTGAGTCCGAAGCCGGTCCTCGTAGCCGGGGACTTCAACGCGTGGCACACGAGTTGGGGTTCCCGACGTGATAACGAGAAGGGCAGGGTTCTGGCGAGTTGGGCGGCGGCGCACGGCCTGGTCCTCGTGAATGAGGGCCGGACCGCCACCTGCGTGCGGACGCAGGGGGAGTCCATCGTGGATCTCACGTGGGCTACCCCCTCGGCCGTGCGCTTGATCACCAGGTGGAGGGTGGAGGGGAGCATCGAAACTCTGTCGGACCACCGATATATATCGGTGGAGTTTGGTGCCCTCTCCTCCGTGCGTCGCCAAGAGACGCGACCGCGATGGGCCCTGCGGAAACTCCGCGAGGACGCCCTGATGGCCTCGGTAGAGGCCGCCTGTTGGGTCCGGGGAAGTTTCTCCGAGACCC